TCCACTTACTCTATAGCCCTTGTGCAAGCAGAAACAGGGGGAAGACCATGGTAGACACTTACTGTATTCCAACCTATGTTTCTGTTTGCATGAGATCTTGGGCAACTAATTTGGGGGCACTAAAATATAAAGGGAAGAAACTGCTAGGTACTACACATGCTCTTGCACAAGGAGAACTACGTTAATCCCATTATTTGCTTTCACACATACTAAATAACGCACTTTCCAAGGAGAACTACGTTAATTCCATTAATTGCTTTCGCACATACTAAATAACGCACTTTCAATGCACTTTGCAAATGGATTTTACCGTGTGGAATGGCAAAATCCACTTGCAAACGGTCGTGGAAGTGGACTGAAATGGCATTATTTAGCATGAGTGAAAGTGACAGCTTGGTGTTGTGGTTAAGTGCACAGACTCTAATCTGGGAGAACCGGGTTTGATTCCCCACTCCTCCACATGCAGCTGCTGGTGTGACCTTGGATCAGTCACAAGTTCTCTCAGAGCTGTTCTGGAAAGAGGGGTCCTTGAAAGAGCTCTCTCAGCCCCACCTACCTCACAGGGTGTCTGTTGCAGGGACAGGAAGGGAAGGCAACTGTAAGGCCCTCTGGGACTCTGAGTGAAGGGCGGGGTATAAATCCAATCTCTTCTTCTCTCTTTTCTTCTCTAACATCTCCACTTGTGCATTACTGGATCCAAGCTGAATCTGCACTCCCCCCCCCCATGTTGCACTTTCATAGTCATCCACCTCCTGGATTTTCCTATTCACAACATTTTCCTGGTTTTGTATTCCAGCAACATGTGGGTCTTGCCACGGTTTGCTATACAGTTTCCACATGGCATATAGCATGCCAGCACTGTAGCTCTTGATCCGTGAAGGTTTTTTTTAATTTTGTTTTAATTATTTGCTTTATATTAAAGGATTAGTTCAGTTTGGAAGGTGCCTGTCTCAGATTTCACTGGGCTTGTATGTTGTGATTTCTTCCATTTGCGCTCTGGACAACAAAAATTGGCTTTCCTGCACAAACACTTTTTGTTTGCTGTTGTGTTTCTGCACAGGAGATCAAGCAGGCAGATTAAAGAGGTCCTCTGGGACTGGTGCTAAGGACCATGTTTTTCACCTTGGTCTTTTGGGCCATGCCCTTAATTGGAGCTTAGTGTCCCATTAATGATTTGGCCTTCTGGGATTCCCATGACCATTTCAGCAAGGCAGTGTCTGCCTAATGGACTGCTGAACAACTCCAATTCCTTGTAGTTTGTCCCAGAGGGCTCCCCCCCCATTAAATATACAGCAGTCCTCAATTAACCTGATGTTTATAAAACATTGTGGCACAAAGTCCTTAAAGGCCATCTCCTTAGGAAGGGCCCTCATTTAAAGATATACAGCGTAATTGTCCCACAGTGCAAGCATATCCACATGGAAGGACCAGCTTGTGCCCGATGCTAATGGGTGAGTTTGTGCACCTCTGTGACCAAGGTAACATAGTCTTTTTAAGCCTATGAGTCTCAGTTGCCTGGCATTAGAGCAGCACAAATTGGCCCTGGCTGAAGGCCATTTCAAGGGGATGGCAGTGGATGCCAAAGAGGTAGCCATGCGTTAGGGAGGGGCTGTGGCTCACTGGTAGAGCTTCTGCTTGGCATGTAGGAGACCCCAGGTTCAATCCCCGGCATCTCCAGTTAAAAGGATCAGGTAGCTGATGATGTGAAAGACTTCCATCTGAGACCTTGGAGAGCCACTGCCAGCCAGGGCAGGCAATATGGACTTTGACGAGCCAATGGACAGATTGAGTATAAGGCAGCTTCATGAGTTGATGTAATACAAATGGTCCACTGGCACCTTATTGGCTAACAAATGAATAGTGGCAGGAGCTGTGAGTTTGTACTGATAGAATCATAGAATTTGAAGGACCCTCCAGGGTCACCTAGTCCAACCTCCTGCACGATGCAGGAAATTCACAAATACCTCCCCCCAAACCCCAAGTGACTTCTGCTCCATGCCCAGAAGATGACCAAAAAACCCAAAAAAACCCTCCAGGGTCTCTGGCCAAACTGGCTTGGAGAAAATTGCTTCCTGACCCCAAAGTGGCAATTGGCATTTCCCTGGGTATGTAAGAAAGGGCCATGAGAACTTAGTACTGATGTAACCCTCCCTGTCTTCCCTCTCATTATCCGCCAGCATTGCTGTCAGATGGCCATCTAGCCTCTGTTTAAAAAAATCTCCAAAGAGGAGCCTACCACCTCCTGAGGAAGCCTGTTCCACTGAGGAACCACTCTATCAGGAAGTTCTTCCTAATGTTTAGCCAAAAACTTTTGATTTAATTTCAACCTGTTGGTTCTGGTCCAACCTTCTGGGGCAACAGAAAACAACTCCACACCATCCTCTAGATGACAGCCCTTCAAGGACTTGAAGATGGTTATAGAACATGCTATGTGTGATCATCACAATATGTGCGTCTCCATGGCAAAATGACTACCTTCAAATTTCAGTGTGCACAGTGTACACAAACATGGACCCTCTAATGGCTGGGCATCCAACTGCATGTACCAAAGATTAACAGAGGATTAGACAAATTCACAGAGGGTACTCCCAACAATAGCTATTAGCCACGATTGCTAAATGGGATCTCCATGTGTGGAGGCACTGCACCTCAGTGCTGGGGGGGCAACCATAGGGAAGGGAGGAAGTTTGAAGTCTCTGAGGTTCTGTTTTTTCTGAGGCTTTTGATTGGCTAATTATTTAATTAATTATTATTAATAATATAATAATCGTGTGAAACAGACTAACAGAGTGCTGACCATATGCACAGCTGGTCTTATCTAGCAGGTCTCTTCATAGTGTTGTGTTATCACAATGTCCCTCATGATGTTTAGCAGAAGAAAGCATTAAAAGAGGGCTAATATATTGCAGGGGCACATGAGATCTCTGTATGTAATGTGGCATTGCGTACTCTGCACACACCCCTTCTTGCTGTCTTTCTCATATCATCGCCAGACCTGTGCCCACAAATATGGGGAGATTTTTGGGATCGGTGCCTGTGGGGGATGGAGTTTCAGCGGAATGTGATGTCACTTCTGGGCAATGTTCTAGGAATTCCCCCATGCTCTACGGTTCGAATTAAATTTCAGATAAAATGTATAAAGTTACTGCAATCCTCTTGAGAAGCAGAAACATAAAGGTTTGAGTTGCGAGCTCCTGATCTAAATCTTTGTTGCTATCCCTGGTTTAATCAAGGCATATTTAGGGTTACCAGCTCTAGGTGGAGAAATACCTGGACATTTGGGGTTGGAGCCTGAGGAGGGGAGGGTTTGGGGAGGGGCTTCAATAGGGTATAATGCCATAGAGGCCACTGATACCGGAACTCTTCCTAAGGATGGTTCCAAAGGCCCAACTCTGTCTTATGTATGGCAGTGGGCGTGCGTGAGTAATTTACCTGTGTATACAGAGGGCGGATTCGGAAACGAACGCTCCTATTTCCCAGGAATTGAGACAACACACTAGGTTTAATGAATAAATGTTGTCTTTACTAAGTATTTCTCAAGCACACGAAAACAGATACATTCACAGATTCACTCAAGTTCCTTTAGTTCACAGTAGATACGAAAGTAATCAGTAAATAAAATAATGACTTCAACAAACAATGAGGGAGAACACAGAAGGATAACGCTTATACTTATCTGAGTTCCAGTTGAGAAGAACTCTCCTCAGTAGAATAAACGGGAACAACAAGGTACTACTTTAGGGATTCTAGAAACACACGGAATGGTCCAGCCAAACACATGCGGGTTCTCCGGTCGCGACTCCAGAGAACTCTTAAGGATCACCTTAAGTTGCAAAGGTGAAGGTATATAGGAAGGATGGGTTAACCAGAGAAACAAAGGCTGTGTTTCTCTTTTTAAAACCTAGCTTTGGGGGTTGGCATAAGGCAGATCTACACCTGAAATCCGTCCCCTTCTCTATACCTATAGGTTGGAGGGTTGTGACGCTGTACCTAGAGGGGAGTGGGGCGATATTCAAATTCTAAGCCTAACTTCAATGGGGAGCCATGTGGGAAGGTGTCAAAGTTGTATTCCCATGGCAACCTTTGACTTGCAGATGTTGCCTGGTCCAGGAAGGCAATAACGGATGTGGTCCCTTTTGTGATTCCAAACCAGATATGTGGGGTTACATGTTATTCCAGCAGATCTGTAATGGCAAGAGACCTGTTGTTTTTCCAAGTCTCCAAAGACTGAGCGTAATGGCGATGGTCTTCTTTGTCCTCAAGCATGTCGGGAAGGTTTTGGGTATGCACGTGTCCATTAGCATAGGCAGCACAAACCCTGTGCATAGCAGCTTCCAGGTTTAACAGGAAGGCATAGCAAGCAAATCCAAGACACAGCAATTCCCAGATCCCATATACACAGAAGCAAAGACATTTTACAGACAATACAGCAGCAGCATAGCACAAATAATACATTTAAAAGCACACATGGTAACACCACCTTCCAAACTGGCCATTTTCTCCAGGTGAACTGATCTCTTTTACCTGGAAATCAGTTGTAATAGTGGGAGATCTCCAGCCACCACCTGGAGACTGGCAACCTGATATATCCTGCTTACAAAGGTCTAGGATTTGCTGTCAGAACAGTAGCTTTGATTATGTAACAGCTCCAGTTCAACACAGTTTATCTTATTTCATGTGCAAAAAGGCCAAGATGTTGCAAGGTGGTCTTTGTGAATCTAACCGTTCAAATTCTGCAAGATTGAATTTTATTGCAGATAAGAAGTTTTGCAGAGTGCTTTGACTTCACTGAATAAACTCACGTCTTGAAAAGCTGAACTGAATTGCCAACCATAGACGCCAAGGTGAAATATTATCTACTTCACAAAAGACAAGTACGAACTTTTTTGCCTAACAGTTTGCACTGAAATTAGGCCCCTTTCTAGATCATTAAATCAAATATTGCCTCAGATCTGCAACATCAAACGTGAATAATTTGTCCACTGTGTTCCACATGGGGAGGGGCTGTGGCTCAGTGGTAGAGCATCTACTTGTCATCATGCAGAAGGTCCCAGGTTCAATCCCTGGCATCTCCAGCTGAAAGGACCAGGTAGTAGGTAATATGAAAGACCTCTGCCTGTGTCCCTGAAGAGCTGCTGCCGGTCTGAGTAGACAGTACTGACCCTGATGGACCAAGGGTCTGATTCAGTATAAGGCAGCCTCATGTGTTCACGAGTTCAACTCTGTCATCACCCCCCACTGACATTTTAACATATGTTCACTTGCCTTATCTTTGGAGTTCAAGTCCTTTCTCTGAAAAAAAGAAACATGTTTACCTCCAATAGTGCACAGAAGGCTTTGTAAAAATATATTATCAAATGGAGAAAATATAATTTTCTTAGCAAAACAAGATGTCATTGCAATAGTACAAATGTCATATTTAAATTCATTTTATTAAGATGTATGGCATTGAATGGTGAGCTCGGAAAATGACTTTATAAACAGGAACATCATTTTCTTATAAAAGAGACGGTATATTTTTAAATTGAGTCAGTAAAAACTCAGCCATCAGTGGTTTATGAAACTTGAGTACACGGATGCTTCAGTACTCAATTAATGTCAGGCAATATGGATTTCAATCTGGCCTGAATATATTTAAACAAATGAACTAGAGACAAATGTTGGCTCTTTGGCCAGCCAGAGCTAAAAATCCATTTTCTACCCCATTTATAATAGGAACTAATTTGAATGTAATTTATCTAAAGCACAATGTGTTTCTTAATTTTTACATGCAACCATTACTTACAGTTTAAGTAATAGTCAGATCCATGGATCTTAAGGCACTTAAGTGAAATTTCATGGAACTGAACTGCAAAGCACAATCATTCAAAAAAAAATAATACAAGCATTATCCTCAGTAATTGCATTACAAGCATTATCCTCAAGTATGGGGGGGTGCATGCAGCAGATGGACTTGAAGGTGAAAATCAAGACCAAGAAAAGAAGAGCACATGAACATTTTAAAGAAAACCAGGACAAATATTTTTTCCCATGCCACTGGTGTTCTATTGGAAGTGTATTTGGATAAAATGGATCCCTTTTCACTCCACTGTGTCAACGGGTGTTATGTATTATTTATTTAATTCATTCATTCATTCATACCAAATGGGAACCCAAAGAGGCTTACATCATTTGCCTCTCCTCCATCTTATCCTCACACCAACCCTGTGAGATAAGTTAGGTTGAGAGAGCGTGACTGGCCCAAGGTCACCCAGCAAGCTTCCATGGCACGAGTGAGCAATTGAAACTGGTTCTCCCAGATCCTAGTCCACCACTCTTAACTACTGAGTACACCATACTGTTGTGTTAGCAAAGCTGGGGCTGAAGTCAAGACCTTCTACAGAAGAGAGACACATCAAAGGTAACAATGGGAACCTGCTAGGATGTAAGTCATTGCGAAAGACAGGGATCTGACTATTACTTAAACTGTAAGTACCAGGATGTAAGTCATCGCGAAAGACAGGGATCTGACTATTACAACTGTAAGTAATGGTTGCATGTAAAAATTAAGAAACACATTGTGCTTTAGATAAATTACATTCAAATTAGTTCCTATTATAAATGGGGTAGAAAATGGATTTTTAGCTCTGGCTGGCCAAAGAGCCAACCTATCGAGCTTGCCACCTGCCTCTCTTAACATGCTCCACGACAGTTATACACTTGCAGAGCATGTTAAGAAAGGCAGGTGGCAAGCTCGATAGGTTGATTCAGACACTATGCCAAGCCATGGTTAAGAAACCGGCAAATTCTGATTACAGTTCTTACTACATCTCTTGAGGCTAGTACATCATTCAAGAGGAAATGAACTCACTCAAGAAAGTGGGTGCTGAGAAGATAAAACAACAGTAAGTCAGCATGGTTTAGTGGTTAGAGTGTCAGTCTAGGATCTGGGAGACCTAGGTTCAAATCCTCGTACTGCCATGAAGTTTGCTGGGAGACTGTGGATCAGTCATGCTCTCTTGGCCTCAACTACCTTACTGGGTTGTCTAATGATAAAATGGAGGATAGGAGAACAGCATACATCACCCTCTTCTCTTTGGAGGAAAGGCAAGATTAAACAGTATTATATAAATAACAGAGAAAACAGGCAACTTTGAACCATGGTTTGAGTATTTGGTAACTGGTAACCATGGTTTGCTTTATTTGAATGTTTGATAAACATGGCTCGCACTAGGGCATATGGAATGAGTGGGGTGGACCCACCAACTTTCCCACTCAGTCTCGTCCAGTTCCCCTCTTTACAACAGCCCCTGTCTCCTATGGCTGTTGTCCATGCAGGCCCTGTGATTCCCAGCATAACCCTTTATGGGTGGCCAAAGAGGATCCTTCCTCTTTTTCATCAGTGGAAGAGCTGGTTGGATTTAGTTCAGCCAGTGTTGTTAATTCCCAAAAGAAGGCCTCTGCTGGATCAGACCAAATCCCAACTCTGCTGTGCAAATTCGCTTGATGACCCTAAGCCAGCTACTTTCTCTCAGCCTAACCTACCTCACAAGAAGAAGGGGAGAACAATGCTATAAGGCACTTTGGACGCATAAATAAATGCATAAACACAGTTGAGACTGTGGTTGGTAAACCAGCTTCAAATAATAGTTCCAGAGTCTAGTTTGATGGGCAATAACTTATTCTAGGCAGCGGAATAGCCCGTTCGGATGACCGCAGTGGTAGTGGTGGAAAGTGCCATCAGGTGACAGTCAACTTTTGGTGACCCTGTAGGATTTTCTAGGCAAGAGGTGAACAGAGGTGGTTTACCATTACCTGCCTTTGCATAGCAACTCTGGACTTCCTTGGTGGTCTCCCAATGTCCAAGCACTAACTAGGGCTGGCCCTGCTTAGCTTCCAACCCTGCTAGCCTGGGCTATCCAGTTCAGGGCAACAATCACAGTAACAGTAGTTAAACCCTGGTGTGGACTGAAACTGCATCCACAACAGTTCCTGTCATCTTCATTTCTCAGTGGTTCACAGCATTCTCAGCTCCCCCAACAAACAGCTCTGTGAAGTCACAACTTCTAAGACATTTTGGCTCTGCTTCTTCCTGATCCTATCAATCAGTTCTCAGCTTACCCCTTCTTCACCCTTGGCCTTAAAGGAAAAAAACCTGGTATATTGTATCTCACTTTACCTTAACATCCTTCGCTTCTCAGCCTTTTGGCTAAGATCAAGCATGGCAACCCTATTTGTGATTGATGTTTTCCCCAGCAAGCTGATCCTGTTATGTCACAGTCTCCTCTCAGAAAGGGGAAAGAAGATAGCCACTGGAAGGCCATATTTATTGATTTAGTCATTTCTAAATTATGTGTTTCAGCTTTCTTTCTGAAGAAAAAACGTCAAGGTGGCTGACAGAAATAAAAAATCTATAAAAACAATTCAGTGTAAAACACCCTCATAAAAACTGCTCCCTTTTAGTCAAATGCCAAGAACCACGCTCAGCTGTCCCATAAATGAAGAAAGGCCATGGCTCATCATTTGCAGACAGAAGCCAAAGTGGTGTGGGAAGTGAAAATGGCCCTCCAGGCCAAGCTCAGTTGAGCGGCTCCTGTGGCACTACACGCCAGCCTCTCAGGGGCCCATTAGGTCAGGAGTGCCAACAGTGGACACTGACTTGCCCATTGCTTTATCCTGCAAAATGGCAGTCGTGCAGGAGGAGACAATTGGAGAGCCAAGATCTATTACTATTGCCAATGAAGGATCTGAGCTAAGAGGCCCTTGAGGTACTGGTAGAGTTGCTGGCTTGTTCCTGGCCACTAGTGGTCCTGTACAGCTTTGGCCCACCAGGAAATTTCCCTGTAAATTAAATGGCCAGTCCATCCCTGGATTCAAGCACTGGCATCTTCAGGTAAAGGATTGGGTGATATGAAAGACCTCCACATAAGATCCCAGAGAGCCATCCACAAAACAGACAATACCAATTGCGGGACCAATGGTCTAACTCATTAAAAGGCAGAGTGATGTGCTGAACTGTTGGAAAAGGCAATGTCTGGTATTCAAAGAAGAAGAGAAGAAGACCCTGCAGGGGGCAGCGAGAAGACAATTAGATGGGATAGTGAGGTCAGCACCCTCTCTCTCCTGTTAAGTGTCATTCCTTGTGTGTCTCCAGATTTTTTCTTCTTCTTCTTCTTCTTCCTCCTCTTCCTCCTCTTCCTCCTTCCTCCTCCTCTTCCTCTTCCTCTTCCTCCTCTTCTTCCTCTTCCTCCTCCTCCTCTTCCTCTTCTTCTTCTTCTTCTTCGTGCCACGCTCAGTCTTACCCTCTCCCTCAGCTAGAGATGAAGTTAGGAACCTATCACTGTCTCTCCTCTTTCCTATCAAGTATCTTAGTTCCTAAATAAATCTTATCTACTCTTTAATCAGGCTGTGCACCACCACTGCTGTGTTAATTACTCTGCCTTTGAACTAAGAAGGGAAAATAACAACCCTGAGAACTAGGATCAAGAACCTGAAACGGTAAGTCGAACTGAGTAGAGGGCCAACAATTAAAACGTAATGTATAAAAATACATTTGTTTATTTGTAAGGGATTTAAAAAAGACCACATAGGAGCCCAATCACACCTCATGTAAAAATTCCAAAATCATATATACACAAGGGCCTTGACCTGATGCGTTTTGGCCTGATGCATTTCAACCTCTGCTAAAGGGACAGTCTTGCTGAGAACAAATGTAGAGTCCAGTGGCACCTTTAAGACCAACAAAGGTGTATTCAAGGTACGAGCTTTCATGTGCATGCACACTTTTTCAGATACATTGGAATGGTAGATGAGGTTCTAAATTTGTTCTACTGCTTCATACCAACACGGCTGACAGTCTTGATGAGGACACTTTGGCTTGAATTGAATAGCTTTTGAAAGGCACCTTCTGGACCAGAAATCAATATCAGTAAAATATCATTTGGATCTTGGGAGGCCTCATTCATATTTCCATTCTATGCCTAGTAATTTCACTCTGGAACAATTCCTTTCTGGTCCATTTTGTATCTATGCCATATAATTGTACTCTATTATGTATTGCGGTAAAAGCCAATTTGTTCTTCATTGTGTTTGACCT